AAAATAGTTGCGTTGACACTGGATGTGGATGCGGCGATTACATGGTCGGAGAGACTCAAGCCTTTGCCTGCAAAACATAATTAAGTCATTTGAGTTTGAATCACAAATATAAACATGAATAAAATCATACAATTTTCTGGTGATTGATCTTAGTCAATTGGATCACACCTAAAGATTTTAGACTCTGCATTAGTATGCATTGGATAGATGACGTTACATACAGCACCTACAACATACACCATTTTCTTGTTCATCTGTTGTATGTGTAAAGTGTGGCAAATTAAAGGGGAGGGACAGAGACAGAGAGAGACAACAGGAGAAATGTTTTGCAAATTTAAAGAGGTAATTATCCTAATAATCCAATCATCAACATCTCCAAGACTTGAGCTAATTATTTAATTAACATCACATTAAGCTATTCATATTAAAATCAATGGTGAGTTTTTTTTACCTCTTAATTATTAGAACGAGGCTCATTAAGTATGTCCTGCTCTTTGAAGACAGGTTATACCAGCAACGCTTTAACAGTAGAAAATCTGAGCTAAAAGTCATGTTTATCAAGTTTTTAAGGACACAAGCTGCACAAACACTGGCATGGCTCTTAATAATCACGCACTCGACACAACAAGAAACAGTCGAGAGGAGGAGGAAGCAATAAAGGGCAAAAGAGCGAAAGCCAGGGAGGAGGACCGACAAGGCCACAGATAAGAGATGCATTGAAATTATATGTGGGAGATAAACGCATTGTGTCCGATTCCACAAGTGTTTGGACAGTTTGGTAAGTATTGTCCTTGAAAGCTGCACGGCGTGGAGGCAGACGAAGGACTATGAAATGGAGACGAGAAAAAGACAATAGACCCCAGCAGGAGTTATTAGTCCTGATAAGGACATCTAGCACTTGTTTTATTTTGATTAGTAGTTGTTTGGCCAAGGGCAATTGGTTTGCACTCAGTGTTTTCTATAAATAATCTCCTTTTGGATTCTCATACTGTAGGAGAAGCTTTACGTGATCAGGGATACATGGAGGAAAAAGATATAAAAAAAAAAGGTTGCATAAGATTGAACTCACTAAATACATATTGCAATGATTTGGTTTGAATAATAGCACAACTAGGTGATGCCACCACAGTGTGCAGATGGGAGGGAGTCACATGACTAGCTATGACGCAGAGCAGAGAGAGGCTAAGAAGAAAGGAGGGAAAAATGGATACATCACAGGAGAGGGACGCAGAAAAACTGGGACAACGCTGTGGTAGAGGAGGTTCAACAAATACAAAAATGACACACCAAGGCATTGACCTGGTTGGCCCTGCAACAGTGTTATTGATTGACAATTTGTGCCTCATTCAGTCCATCATTCTTTATGTCATTCTCAGAGCAGAGGGCTTTAGCCTTATAAGGAAGCAATCGTGAGTGTGTGTCTAAGAGAGAAAGGGGTGGAAGAGCAAGAGAGACACAGAGAGAGACAGAGAGACACAGAG